GCCCTAGTGGTCAACAGCAGACATTTGCAGTGTGTTAAAGAGCAGAGATGACGTGTTGTTCCTTTGACAGCCTGTAGGTGGCTCTTAAAAGAGCCGTTGGGTTGGAGTTGAGGGGGGGTGAACTCTACGCCCTCTCCCCGCGGATACGACGGGCCAGCTGGATGTCTTTGGGCATGATGGTGACTCTCTTGGCGTGGATGGCGCACAGGTTGGTGTCCTCGAACAGACCCACCAGGTAGGCCTCGCTGGCCTCCTGCAGAGCCATGACGGCGGAGCTCTGGAAGCGCAGGTCGGTCTTGAAGTCCTGGGCGATCTCCCTGACCAGGCGCTGGAAGGGCAGCTTGCGGATCAGCAGCTCCGTGGACTTCTGGTAGCGACGGATCTCACGCAGAGCCACGGTGCCGGGCCTGTACCGGTGGGGCTTCTTCACGCCGCCGGTGGCGGGGGCGCTCTTACGGGCTGCCTTGGTGGCCAGCTGCTTCCTGGGAGCCTTACCTCCGGTGGACTTACGGGCGGTCTGCTTCGTTCTGGCCATGGTTTCAGTGTATTTCTCTCTCTGTTCGACAGAAAAATAATGTTTCGTCGACGCCCCCCGTGCGGCTTTTATAGCGTCAGCGCAGACGCGGTTGATGACGCAGTACGAATGCTGCTGCCTGTGATTGGACAGCATACGATGACTTCGATGCTCCAACCCTAATGGAGAACATTGCCGCTGGTCATTGGCTCAAAAAGATTTAAAAAATACCCGCCCAAAGTTAGATGTGGCGCCTCCATTCTGCTCTCTTCTGATTGGTCAGACAGCTTGTGTCGTAAACGCTGAACAAAGCAGTTCAATAAAAATGTTGAACGAGTTTCCTGCAGCATTTTTAATCCAGTAAAATTCCCATTGTTTTCCAATTGTCTTTTTAATGTTTATTTGCTACACTTTATTTGTTTTACATTTGAAATGTGACTTTCCTGGTTAAAGAATTTAAATATACCATATTTTTTAATTATGTATGAATGAATATTGGAAACAAATACATGATTATTTTAAACTTAAATGAATTCATAATTAATATATTTTATCAACGTTGTTTTCAGATTTCTTTATTCACTGTAATTGTGACATCACCAAACGCTGACCATTAAAACTGTATGAAGTGAAACAGAAATAAATCACTGTCCAGGTTTGAATGGACGTCTATCATCAAAGGCAGAAGCCACTTTTTTTGGACTCCTTTGGTCCTTTGTAGTTCAGTGGAACAAAGGTGAGATCAGTAAAAGGTCATCGTGTTAAAAGCGAGCTAACGTCAGACACAGGTTTGACTTTCAGTCGACAACTTCTCCAGCTGAAAGTGCTGCGCTGGTTAAACACACACACATGTGACGACAAACATGGAGAACAAGTCTCTGTTTGGTGGTGGAACAGGTGACTCGTCCAAAAGTCGTTTTGTTTTAATAATAATTCTGTTTCCTGTTTCCTCTTAAAGCTGCTCTGTGTGGATTCACCACTCGTGAAATATTCAACTAAAAACTTTGGTCTTTGTTTTTACACAAATGAATGTGTATTCATTTCCCTCCAGGCAGCTTCTTTGGGTCGAGCACCTTTAACCAGCCGGGCGCCTCTTCTACCAGCACAGGACTTGGTTTTGGTGCAACAAGTGGAACATCCTGCAGCATTTTTGGAAACTCTGGGGGCAGCACCGTTACAGAACCGTTCTCTCAGCTGAGCAACACCTTCGGTGACAACAAACCCTCAACTCCTGGATGTGAGCATCTCCACCAATGACACTGTAATTCAGAGGAGTCGTGGTTACTGCGTGAATATGATCACGCAATCGTAAAATAATACAGACTTGTCCTTTAGCTTCTGTAGCTAACACCAACGTAGCTAATCACGCAATCGTAAAATAATTCAGACTTGTCCTTTAGCTTCTGTAGCTACTACATCTAACACTGACGTCACTGTACAACAGGTGCTGCAAAGTAGGAATGTACTAACTATTACTAATAATTACTAATTATTTATTTAACAAAAAACACAAATATTTTAGTTGATTTAAATATTTAAGGAGTTAAATGATACCAACACTCCAGATCATTTTGTGATAGCAAATTTAAACAACAACTTTAAGGATCAAACAAATGCAGTTTTTTTAAAAAGCCACTGTAGATAAAACTAGACGTTCAAGCTCTGGTTGAAAGTAAGAAGTTACAAAGTTCCTTCTGTGTTTCTGCCTTTGAGTTCTCACGTCTTTTTGAACCATCTCTGATGAGACGTTTGATCTGTTTTAGGTGTTCCAGCCGGTGGACCGAGCTTCTGTGGCGGTGCCGCCCCCGCCTTCCTCGTGGCCAGCCCCACCTTTGGTGGCTCTGGGGGATTGGCCACTCAACAATTTGGGACGACTTTCAAATACAACGTGAGTGGACACGGTTCACACTGCACCAGGGGAAAATGTTCTGGAGCCGTTCCCAACAAATCTGTCTTTAAAATCTTGCCTATTTTGTGAAGAGCAAAAGCAAAACACAAGTGGGTCTGGAACCGATCCAGAAGAAAACGTCAAAGTCTTCCCTCTGCTGTCACATGATGAACTTCAGGATTGACATACTTTGTGTTTGGTGTTGCCAAATGTCACCGTCTAAATGTCTCTCTGCAGGAGCTAGGACCCGGTGACTACCAGTCAGACAGGAAAGGCTCGACCAATCAGATGGCTGTAGGAACATACAGCGTGTTCGGTCCAGGCCCGTCCACCTCCGGCACCAACACCGACCCGTTTCACCCTACAGTCCCAGACAACAGTTTCCCCTTCGGCCAAAACAAAAGAACCCTGGAACCAAGTAGGTGTCAGTTCACAGTTCAGTCCACTTAGATGACTGGAATAACAACATGGAATAACAGTAGTGAGTGGAGGGGTGGAGGGGTGGGGCCGGGGCCGGGGTCTGTTTGTTTTTACTGGTGCTTGAACCCACTGGCAGCACATGACTGATGACTCTCCTCAGTGACTGTGGGTCGGTTCTGTTTGTTTAAGATCTGGGTTCATCCACTCTGAGCAGGAACCTGGTTTTCTTTGTGTCTCCAGTAAACACTCCGGGCTTCAACAATATCACGGGAAGTCTTTTTGGACAACAGGCCCAGCAGCACGGCAGCACCTTCAAGATGTTTGGTGAGACCACCAACACCAGCCTCTTCTCCAACAACACGGCGGGACAGAGCGACAGGAGCAGCATGGTGGGGCAACGGTGGAGAAGAGAGAGAAAAATGAGTGGATTCAGAGAGTGTAAATGAAGATGTTTGTATGTTCTACAGGGTTTCCTTGGAAACACAGCAGGGGCGTCGTCGGGCGGACTCTTTGGACACACCAACACTGCCACGGGGTTGTTTGGACAAACTAACTCTGAGTTTGGAGCCGTCGGACTGGGCACACAGGTACAACAGTGACACCTTCAAACATGTGGACGGGTCGTTTGTTCTGACTCTCTTACTCTAACTGCAGAGTTTCCCCACAACCACCTCCACCGTCACGGCCTCCTTTGGGAACTCTGTGGCCGTCCCATCATGCTTTGGTGCAGCTACCACCACTCCTTCTCTAAGTACTTCCCTGAACTCCTCGTCCACCGGAGGCACCAGCAGCACTTTTTCAGATTTTGGTGGGAACTGCAGCCTTGCGTCGCTGATCAGAACCAACGCCCCCGTCACTGCTCCGTCCCTGAGCTCAACCCTGACTCCATGTTATAGTGGAGCTGGGCTCATGGGAAACAAAGCTGCATTCACACCAGAAACAGGAAACAGCGCCTCCACAAGTACTACTAGTAAGACTTAGTGATGTCTGAGGACCACCTATTCTTACCAACTTTTATATATATATTAACAAAATGTCCATGTGGATAAATAAAGACCTGTACGTCTGTCTTGGTGCAGCAGCTGGAGTATCTGACTACAGGTCGGGCACAAAAAGACCAGAGATTGGACTGGGATCCCACTCTTCAGTGGGTAAGTCACTGTAAAATACAAAATGATATCAAGTAGAAATGTTCAGTGAAAACAACATCATCAACATATTTCAGAGGTGGGGGCCGGACAGACGTTCCCATGGGGGAACAACCACAACAAGCTGTTTGGAACAACTGGTACATTTGGAACCAGCAGCACCGGCCCTGGTGCTTCACATCAGCCTTTCCGTAAGTTTATCATCTTGGTCCTCCTGGTCCTGGTCCTGGTCCTCCTGGTCCTGGTCCTGGTCCTGGTCCTCCTGGTCCTGGTTCTCCTGGTCACTGTTTATCTGGTGCTTTGAATGTGCGTTCCCTTTTTTCCAGCTCTTGTTGATCCAAATGCAGTGGCTACCCAGAAGGCCATGCTCCAGGACATTCACAGCTACCTTACACTGACACCATACGGAGACTCATCACTGTTCAGAAATACACTACCTGACCTCAAGGGGGAGACTGGCCCTCAGCTGGTGAGGCCTGTCACTCGTCACTTTGTGCTTTTTTTCCCCTGACAACCAGTTGTTCAAACTTCCTTGTGTCCTTACAGCATGGGAAACCAGTCAATGCCTCTGTCCATCGTGGTCTGTACCACGCCCCCCCGCCTCCCATCAGAACCTGCCCCCAGGGCCCGTCGCCGTTCCGATCCTCTGAGTCACAGTTGCTGTTTTACCTGGATGACGATGAACCGTCGCTCAACAAAAGACCCTTCAGGTACCCAGGTACCTGTGGTCACCGCCTCCTGCTGTAGAACTGCCTCTGGGCTGGAGTTTGATGAAATGGTGATAACTGTGCACCTGTGTGTTTCCAGGCAAAGAAAAGACTAGAGGATTCAAGCAGTTTCCGGTGTTTACAGCCAAACTCCACAGGATCTTTCAGAAGCGCATCACAAAAATTGTGCTGAAGAAACAGAGCAATCCTGGACAGATCTGGAGGAACATCTTGATCACTCCCTGAGACCAGAGTGTGGACGGCTGCTGGGAAGACCGAATGACGTCAGCCTTTGACCAGGAGCCGCACCTCAACGTCTCACAAACTTTTATTTATTTATTTATTTATTTTTCTGTGGTTTTCACATGTAGACGTACCAGCAGTCAGCTATAAAGTATATGGTGGAGTTCGATTATAACATTTATAACCTATTGTTTTAAGGACGTAAAAAACATATCATGTAATTTGACGTTCATTTATTTAAAAAAAAAAACAAATGACAAAATGTCCTTATTGTGATATATTTGTTTCATTATTTATGTGGAGAATGTTACACTAGAAAGATAACGACCTACTGTAAAGTAGACGTTTAAAGTCCGTGAAGTAACACATGTCAACACAGCTCCTCGTTAGTATAGTGGTGAGTATCCCCGCCTGTCACGCGGGAGACCGGGGTTCAATTCCCCGACGGGGAGGATTTGTTTTTATCTCAGAGGAACTTTAAGGACGATTTTATCAACAAAACAACAACTCTGTGTGACGTTATTAGTGTTTATTGTTTTTTATTTTGTTAATAAAATGCTATTTTCTTACATGGTGCGCCATCGTGTCTTTGATGACCACGTCTACATCGGTCCAGATATGGAGGACACACTTATAAGAATAGAAACGGGACCTCGTGTCTCACAGCAGACTCTGTATCGAACAAACCAGCTTCTCTGTACAGACCACGTGACGTAAGTCCAGTAAATGTAGAGTTCAGTGGAGAAACAGTGTAACCCGGATGATAACTACAATACACACGCCGGTGAACGAAATGGGGTGCGCCACCCTGTGGCGCCAAGCTGTAATAACCCTGTGGCTGATTGCACTACCCAACGCTAAAGGACAGCTAACCGTTAGCCACACACTTAGCTGTAAAAAAAGTTAAATACTCAACACTTGTGAAGTGGTCGATTAAAATAACGTTTTTGTACAGCGTCATTTAAAATGTTCAAGGTTTCAAATCAAATCAAAGATGTAATGATACAGAGTTTCACAGCTGTTGAAGACGCTCAGAGCAGTTTTCTCCTGATTACGTCATGTTAAACGGTATTTAAGGCACATAATACTACAATGCTACAGGAGGCTAATGCTACATCGTGAAAAACTGTGTATTTATACTTTCTAATTCTCCCCAGTGAATAATTGGTGTAATCTCTGTGAACGTCAGTGTAGTGACCGTGACTTCACTGTAAAAATCCACGGTGGAGGAGAGTTGTTATTATTCCAACTGGACTTCAGTCTGAGCACAGACACAGGGACAGAAAAGACTGGGCGACACTGCACCCTAGCGGCAACACTTCTACATTTGGAGTTCATTACTGTATGAAAGTGAATTAGAAAGTGAATTATTTGTCACTGTGACATGGCACACCACTGCACCACTGCACCACTGCACACAACCAAATGTGACCCCTGCTTTTAACCCATCACCACAGCCAGCAGGGGGCAGTGTGTGGGGACGGTGCCCGGAGCACCTCAGTGGTAACTTAACCTCTGAGCCATAAACTGTATCTTAAGTTCAAGTTGTGTTTGTTTGTATTTAACAATATACCTTTTTGTATATTTAAGTGAGACTGCATGTTGTGTTTGAACAGAGAAACAACAACAACAACAACAACAACAACAACATGATGTTGGAGTTCTCATGAGATTGAACTGATCATCACAGCAGTAACAGCAGTAACAGTAACAGCAGTAACAGCAGTAACAGTAACAACAGCAGCAGTAACAGCAGCAACAACAGCAGCAGCAGTAACAGTAACAGCAGCAGAAACAGCAGCAGTAACAGCAGCAGTAACAGCAGCAGCAACAATAACAACAGCAGTAACAGCAGTAACAGTAACAGCAGTAACAGTAACAGCAGCAGTAACAATAACAGCAGCAGTAACAGCAGCAGTAACAGTAACAGCAGTAACAGTAACAACAGCAGCAGTAACAGCAGCAACAACAGCAGCAGCAGTAACAGTAACAGCAGCAGAAACAGCAGCAGTAACAGCAGCAGTAACAACAGCAGCAGCAGCAGTAACAGCAGTAACAGCAACAGCAGCAGTAACAGCAGCAGCAGCAGCAGTAACAGCAGTAACAGCAACAGCAGCAGTAACAGCAGCAGCAGCAACAACAACAGCAGCAGTAACAGCAGCAGCAGCAGCAGTAACAGTAACAGCAGCAGTAACAGTAACAGCAGCACTCAGTCTTCACAGTAGATTCAGATTCCAGTTCAAACAGGTGTAAATGACCATGTTAAATGTTGTGATGTAAATGTTTACATCACAACATTCTTCTTCTACAGTCAAACTGGTCAATAACAGACTGTCACTGACGGTAACTGACAGTTGGTGAATGAGCACAACTACAACAGTATCTATAGAAGTCTTTGTTATTTATTTACATGAAAAGATGTACTTGACAAAAGAGGGAAAAAAACAGAAAATATTTCTTTATGAATTCCCTGAAACATGTTCTGGTACCAATGTTTGTCCAGAGGCTGGTCCTTCAGAACCAGCTTTTATATGTTGAGCTGCAGTGAAGTTAAAGTATGGCTGATGTTAGTGACGTCCACGTCCATGTGAGTTATTGTTACATCCAAAGAACCAAGGACCGCTACGGTTCGGTTCGGTACATGACGCCGTCAGCCCAGCTCAGACTTCAGACAAACACGACTTTTATAACGAGAACAACGTACGTGAAAAGTGGATGTGAACGGTTGTTTTATGCCTACTCCGTGGACAGGTACGTCACATGACGCTGACGCACGGAGCCGTCGCCCAGCGTCCGTGTGTTTTACACCCATGACAAACGATTCCTTTTTCGACTTTAAACGTTAAACACCGGGAGACATTTGACTTGGACTTTGTCGACGTGTGTCTCTGTTCACCGGACAATCACCGCCGTATTTCACACGACGTGTTTATGTCCGCTTTATGTGACAAAACGTGTCGAAAAGCACCACCGTCGTGTCCGCGGCGGCGCTTCTTCATGATGGTTTAGCGCTTCTTCCAGGATAATTCACAAGTCCCGGGCCTCGAACGTGAGTCCGATGCTTAGAGGACAGTGGTCACCAGTGACGGGGACAACAGCCGTGGGCACGACTGAGTGTCTGAGGGAGATTTTGAGGAGAAAATGTTGAAGAGAAAACACAACTGTCGCCACAGCGGAGGAAATGGCCGCGTTGCTTCTCCACGGTTCTCATCCTCTCTATAAGTCCCGCCTCCTGCGCCGAGAGAAACAAACTCAGAACTGACTCTGAACGAACACCTGACGGAAAATGGCAGAAGAAGTCGCTGCAGCAGCACCGGCCGTCCAGGCCAAAGCCGCCAAGTCTCCCAAGAAGAAGAGGGCCGCCCCAAAGAAGAGCAAGGATGCGGGATCCAGCCTCCCAAAGATGGTCGTGGCCGCCGTGGCTGAGTCCAAAGAGCGGAAGGGCCAGTCCATCTCCGGCCTGAAGAAGATTCTGGCCGATAAAGGAGTGAACGTCAGCAAGGACAACAAGCGCATCAACCGCTGTGTGAAGAATTTGGTGATCAGCGGAGTCCTGACCCAGACCAAAGGCATCGGGGCGTCCGGCTCGGTCAAGATCGCCAAGAAGGAGCCGACGGCGGCGAAGCCCGCGAAGAAGCCAGCGAAGAAAGCCGCCGGTCAAACTAAGGCGAAGAAGCCCGCGGCGGCGGCGGCCAAGAAAACTGCAGCGGCTAAAAAGTCCGCCCCGGCCAAGAAGCCCGCCGCTGCCAAGAAGCCCGCGGCGGCCAAGAAGGCAGCGACGCCCAAAAAGTCACCCAAGAAGGCCGTGGCCAAGAAGCCCGCGAAGAAGGCAGCGACCCCCAAGAAGTCTCCCAAAAAGGCTGCACCCAAGAAAACAAAGGCCGCGGTCAAGAAAACTGCGGCGAAGAAATCTCCAGCAAAGAAGTCTGCAGCCAAGAAGAGCAAGAAGTAGACGAGCTGACCCCCCCACACCCCCCCTCGGCTGACCGCTGTCAAACAACGGCTCTTTTAAGAGCCACCACTTCGACCACTTCAAAACAACAGAACCTCAAAAAAAAAATTCGATCAAACCTGACTAGTTGTACATTAGTAAACTGTTGGTTAATGATCGTTAATAGTTGTGACGTCACCTTAATATCAACGACTACAGTTGGTCCAGGCTGCACCAGGTCACGTCATCAGTGAAGGTCCATTATTACCCCCCCCCACACACACACACTGTAGGAACAGAGGACATTAATATAATAATGACATAATAATAACAGAAGTACTGGAGAATAATTCTGCTTCAGTGTTCGTTTAATTTGTATTTAATTTATTTATTAATTTGGTATTAATTAATCAGTAATTAATTAATTGAATTTCTTCCACACAGATCAATCTGAACATTATTGTCACATATTTGTCAGATTTTATTATTCAATTTTCACTGATAATAATAATCACTTTATATTTATATATATATATATCTCAATATAATAATTGTCCCTCCTTTTCCCTCTCGTTTGAAACATTCCCGCTTCAATGTATGATTGGTCGATTTCAAATTTCTAAACCAGTTCAGAATCGGGTTTCAACCCGCCCCGCGATGACGTCATCGCCTCCACGGCCTTTATAAACCCGGTGTCTGTGACTGGGACTCATGTTCGTGTTCGCTGACTTTTTCGACTGTTCACTGAAACCATGGCCAGAACGAAGCAGACCGCCCGTAAGTCCACCGGAGGTAAGGCTCCCAGGAAGGAGCTGGCCACCAAGGCAGCCCGGAACAGCGCACC